AGAGGAACCAAGAGTAAATATGGCAATATGCACATAAGGCAAATACAATCATGGACAATACTTAAGAAAGTTGTACCTTTTAGCATATAATATCGGGATTATAACTCTGAAAGATATTACAGTGACCTTTATTGAAGACACGCGATATAATCAAGTGTGAACAACCTCTGTCTCCTTCAAATAAATAGACGACATGCAACAACAAAGACATTACACTTCCTCAAGTTTTGTCTCCATGAGTGTATCTACATTGTGCGACACAAAAACTAAAACTTCCATGTTGTCCAGAGGAACCTGGTGGTAGGGACCTACAGGAAGTACTCCTGTGACACTGGCGATGACAACGACAAGTTGAAGACAGATCTCAGGACCTATGTCCAGGATTACATCACGTTCCTGATGGACATCTTGCTCACGCCATCACAGGATTCGGTCGTCTTGGAATCCTTGGTATCTGAAGGTACGACCAAGGCTGGGATGGAGAACATAACTAGGCCTAAATATCAATCAATCAATCCCTTTATACAGATTCTACTGAGATATACAGAAAATAAGTGAGGAAAAAAATAAGAAGAAATTAGTAATAGGTATCTTGAGAGTTACTGTATACTTACTTATCAAATTTCGAAACTATTATAGACACGTATGATTCTTTTTAAAAATAAAAAATTTCTACTGCTCTTACTGCAATGGAAAAATTAAGGGGAGGGTCTGGCTCATCAGTGGTGAACCCTATACTTATATATATTATATAATGGACAAAAGAAGTTGTACCTTTCAGCATGTATATCGGGATTATAACTCTGAAAGATATTACAGTGACCTTTATTGAAGACCCACGAGATAATCACGTGTGAACAACCTCTGTCTTCTTCTTCTTCAAAAAAGGGTCGTTTATGTTTAAAAAAAGAAACTTCCTTAAGTTTTGTCGATGAGTTATATGCTATAGGTATTGCCTTTCTCTCTTTTTTTATATATAGATTTCCTTAAGTTATGGGAGATAGTAGAAAACATTTGGGAAACTCAACAAAAACTTAATAAACGTAAATATATAAAAAAATATAGGTCACCTCTCCCATCAAAATAGACGCCAAAACTAAGTGCTATCTATTGACCGTCTCCGTAAACTAGCTAACTCAGGTCGGTGACAAAGCCACAACACCAGCTTTGAGAAATTCAGAACGTCCACCTGGATACCATGCTTTCGGACTAATGACCTTCCTCAGTCCAGGGCGTTGTTAGATATCACGAGACCTGTGAGGGACCCGAAACAGAGAGTTTTCAGAAACAGTTTATAGTTCTTGTATCTATTTTGAAGGGAGAGGTGATTTTGCATTTAAAAGAGCATTATCCTCCAGGCAAAATTCCCATATATATTTCAGCCATAGATTTGACCTAGCCACTTTGCCAGATAATCACCTCTTTGGAAAATTGTGAATATATCATTATATCCCTTGTGGATCTCGAGATATCAAAGTCCGCCCGCCCTGGACTGACAAGGGTCATTAGCCCAAAAACATGATTTCCAAGTGGACGCTTCTCAAATTTCCATAGCTGGTGTTGTGGCTTTGTCAGCGACCCGAGTCCACTAGTATGCAAAGACGGTCAATAGATGACTCATAATTTTAAGACAGGAGATATCTTTTCTTTTTTTTTAGTTTTTATAAACCTTTCCCATCCCTGGACACTGTTATTTTTCCGTTTATCATTACTCTTCACAATTCACCCTTTCATACCTCATCCAAAAGGTTAGAAATAATCGTTATTTCTCCTTGAAATAAATTTTGAATTTTCGCTGAAAAGAAACACATGCGGGATAGTATATTTCAAATGTCGTTTTATAAACCTAAATGTTTAACATATTTGCATATACCAAAAGAGGTACATCTCCCTTTAATTGTACATCAGAACGATACACTTGCTCATCACTCTAGTAAAAAAAACTCTACTAGTGATGATAAAGAATAAGCCACAACACCAGTTTTGACAAATTCAGACATAAGGACTATCAAGGTTTCGAGCTATGGCCCTCATCAGTACAGGGAAGGATTCGATATCATAGCATTCTACGAGGAGAGTAATGGAATCGGTTGAATTTACCAAACAGATGTTTAAACTGGTGAAGTGGCAAGAGAGCCATACTACTATGTATACTATGAACATAAAACTAAAAAGCATTTTGATTCTTTCACTCCTTCAGTCCTAGTTACTAGTATTTGTTTAAAGATAATTGTAAAAAAAAATTATTGTATTTTCCTTTTATAACCTTCCTAAATTGTGTTTTTACGCAGATGACATCGAGCAATGGGATATCGGCTGTCTTCCTGATGAAGAGTAAGTATCGTTTGATTCAAATACATTTACACATATCTACACTTATAGACAAAACTTAAGGAAGTTGTACCTTTTATCATGTATATCGGGATTCAGACAATAACTCTGAAAGATATTACAGTGACCTTTATTGAAGACACACGAGATAACCAAGTATGAACAACCTCTGTATCCTTTAACTAGCGACATCAAATACTTATCCCTTACTTAAGTTTTTCTATGAGAGTGTATATGCAAATCACACGGTCTTTACTATCCAACAAGGCTACTAAGAGTGATGTTCCAGGCTGAAGGAACAGTTGATCGGTCAGCTCAAGCTGTTGCTGAACAAACTGCTCATTACCATCCAGAAGGAGATCAGACATGCTGTGATGCTGCAGACATCGGCTACTGATGACTTTAAGCTGATGGTAAGTTGGTGGTTCCTTAAGTAAGCTTTGGTAGATTATGGTAGTTATTAAGGTTGAAGGAATCAAAGTTTTCGGAGACGAAAAGAAACTCGTCCCTTCGATATCATAACATGATACAAGATGAAATCGGTCAAATTTAACAAACAGGTGTTAGAACTGGTGAAGTGGCCAGGGAGCCATAATACTATATATATACTATGAACATAAAAATAATGAACATTTTGATTCGTTCACTCGTTCAGTCCTAGTTATTAGTTGTAGTTTAAAGAATACAAATATTACAATTATTTTATTTCCAAAGCGCTATATCCCGCAAGGGATACTTGCACCAAACAAGGAGAAAAGTTTATTTACATAAGTTATTTACATTATTCAACACATGAAAACATTAGAGATCCCGATTTTGTAGAAAGTTTAGAATGTATTTACAAAATGTGAATTGAACTTTAAATATGATTTTTTTATCGGAAATGAAATCTTTAAGTTCACAAACAACTAGTTCATTCTTCATTCTATAAACTTGAAATGCTGGGTAATCGATCAGCTTTAATCAGTTTAAAGATAATTGTAAGATGATGTCTGGTGATTCTTTCTCTTGTAATTAAAGTTATTCTTAATCCATGTTCATTCCTGTCTCTTTACAATTTAACAAACTCAATAAACAATACAGGGACAGGTTTCTTTAACTATTTTTTTTTATTTCTTTAGCTTTATCAGGCCAACACATGTATTTCAACAGATAAACTATAAGTAAGACTTATAGCTAACTATACACACCAAGAGAGAGAGAGAGATTGAGATTGAGATTGAAACTACTTTTATATTACCTCATTCATAAAAGAATTATAATGATAATTGTAAACTAAAAAAAAACAATAAGTAAAAAAGACAAGGATGGATAAACATAATGAAATCCACACAAGGCTTCATTGGTGTCGCCAGGTGGGCAGGTACCGCCGGTGTTCAGGGTTACAACCCGGAATCTCATTTCAGCTGCCGAGCAGAGTTTCTGGCGCGTGACAGCTTCTTGTACAGGGTGTCGCTGGTGTTCCCTGTCAGAGCCATTAGCGCTGTAGCCAAGGTGTTGATGGCCACTTTCTGTTTGGCGTTTGATTGGGCGAGCAGCCGGTCCATCTTCCCGTTGTGCGTTAAAGCCTGGAGGAGGTGATCTCTCAGAGAGATAGAGAGAGAAAATAAAGATCTTTAGCTATAAGTGATACTTCTTGGTTTTCCTATTGAAGGGGATGTTGGTCCAAAAGCTAGAGAAATAAAAATATTTAAAGAATCCTGGCTCTGGATTGCTTGTTGAGTTTGTTAAAAGGTTATTCTTAAGTGATAGTAAACTGGTAGTTCTAATGGATAATGGTAGTTCTTATAATTACTGGTAGCGTTCTGTATGTAAACTGGTGTTCTTAATGAGTACAAACGCTGCTCATCCTGTATCCCTGGATTAGGAGCCCTTACATGGTACTATCAGCCGGGTCAGCTGAACCCAGGTTTTATAGTGAGCTTGTTACTGCTCCCCCTCCTCCTTTTTCATCCGGGCTTGAGACCGGCAAAGGTGGAGTTATGAGTGAGTTATGATTACTAGTGATATTCTGGAAGTAAAATGGTAGTTTTCAGGCGGTACTTCTGGTAGTGTTGTGGTGGGGTACTTCTGGTTGTGTTGTGGTGGGGTACTTCTGGTTGTGTTGTGGTGGGGTAAGCTGGTATTGTATGTTACAGAGAGATGAGCTGCTGAAACTGTTCCAAAAGAGCATCGTGGGCGGATCAGGAAAGGACGATGCCAACCGGGAGTTTGCTGCCAAGTCCCTCGAGTACTTCAGGGCGCTGGTGAAGTACTTCTTGAGCAAGGACGACGTCCTGAACGAGATCAACTACGGCTTCTTCGACGATATGGTGGAGAAGGTTAAAAAAATGGTAAGTATTCCAACACTCTCTAGTTGATCTAGAGATAAAAAAGCATAGGGCTCCTCTCACTTCAAATTAGATCAAAATAGATGGCGTCTAGTATTGACGTTTAATTTGACGGGTGAGAAGCTCTATCCTTTTTTAGATCAAATTCCACCCGGCAAAAATTTCCATTTAAAGATACTTGTTGTGTAAAACGACATTTGAAAATTATCCCGCATGTGTTTCTTTTCAACGAAAAATCAAAATTTATTTTTATGGAGAAATAACGATTATTTCTTACCTTAGAGATGAGGTAGGAAAGGATGAATTGTGAAGAGTAATGATAAACGGAAAAATAAAAGTATCCAGGGATGGGAATCGAACCCACATTGTTCCGCTTACCGGGCAGATGCCATGTCCACTAGGCTACCCTGGACATATTTTTCCGTTGTGTTGTGTGTATAGGCGTAAATTTCATTTTTAAAAAGAATAAAAGTATTGCAATATAGTTCTTTTTTTTATTATAGAATCATCTAGCTTTCGATGGATAGCTCTTTCTCAACACTACTGAATTCTATGAGGATAAGGTTTGTGAAGATATCAATATATTAATTAACATGGTACATCTGCGCGCCATATGTTATAAGAAATTTGAACTATTTTCAACCCGTATGTTTCTTTTTGAATACAAGAATTATTTATGATCCTCTTACTGCAAGGAAAAATTTTGGGAGGGCCTGGTTCCACTCATGGATAAAACTTAAAGAAGTATTACCTATTTGCATATATATCGAAATTCAGACAATAACTCTGAAAGATATTACAGTGACTTTTATTGAAGAAACACGAGATAACCAAGTGTGAACAAAATTGTCTCTGTACCTTCAATAAAATAAACGACCGGCGACGTAAAAATCTCTCCACTTCAAGTTTTATCCATGAGTGCAATGATTTATGGATTCTGTTGTCCTTAGAAAGAGCTAAAGTTCGAAAGCTAACTGATTTTATCATAAAATGAAACACCTTGAAATTCCGTCTTTTTTTATCAATGGATGTCTTTAAGCTACAATTGAACCTCTCTCAAGAGATTGGCTAAACCATAGTTATAGTTCTTTATCTTTCCTGGAGGTGGTCTCTCCTTGGAGGTTGGATTATGACAGAGGGACTTTAGCTCATGAGGGACCTTACTGTCATCTTCTTTCTTTCTTATCACCATCATATAATACACACAGTCCTATCTGAAATCATCAATAAGGAAACCCCATTCCACCCATTGATTGCTGCTTCAAACTTAGTCAGTGTTTATATAAAAAATGTCGTACCTGATTCTGTAAAGAAAAATTTAGCAATAAATTGATAAAGAAGAAACAATCTCTCGAAATATTTTTAAAAAATGTTTTTTTTCTTTACAGATCCATATACGCCCTTTTTTATATGAACCCATTTCGAAACTATTATAGACGCGTATGATTCTCTTAAAATTAAACAATTTCTACTGCCCTTACTGCAATGCAAAAATTAAAGTGAGGGCCTGGCTCCTCATCAGTGGTGACCCTCCCAGCAGTTTCGACAAATGGCGCACTAATGCATCATATTATGAACCTATTTAATGGATAGTTTTATGACTCAAACTTACTCTGTGTGTTTTACTTTAGATTTACGACACCATCGACGTGGAGAAGTTAAAGGCCAAATTGAAGGAATACTTCGACAAGATCGGTAAAAGTGAGGTAAGGACTTCAGAAACATCAATTATTTGATGTTTTCGAGTAAATTTTATCCAACCATTCAATATAATATAAATTAATCGATTTTGGATTTCAAAAATCTTATTAGATATTTTTTGTGTGTACCTGATTTTCCATAGTTTCGTTAAATGCCATGATCAAAAATGAATATTCATGTGCAAAGTATGTATATAAGTAGAATCATCATATAATAGTTGTAGAGGTTTGTTGGATTGAATTAACAACTTTTGTCGAGAAATTTTACCATTTATGAGCAAAGTCTTCTCAATTCCTTTTCAACATCATTTCACTGATTGTTTATAAATTTGTTTGCTTTATTTAAAATACACTCATGGGCAGAACTTAAGGAAGTTGTACCTTTTAGCACGTATATCGATATTCAGACAATAACTCTGAAAGATATTACAGTGACCTTTATTGAAGACACACGAGATAACCAAGTATGAACATAATTGCCTGTGTCTCCTTAAAAAAAATAATAATAGATGACCGGCGACCATTTAATTTATAACTATATCAAAGTCTTTAAACTTCCTTAAGTTTTATTCATGAGTGTAAATAACTAAATAGCATTGAATAATTCTGAGAATATTTTATAGTAAAAATAAGAAAAGACGAGTTGTGAGACGATTGTATTGTTACAGCTTAGCAAGACAATCCTGGATATCCTGCAGAAGAAAGGGAAAGATGAAATCCTCAAATACCTGAAATCGCTTTTGCAATCTGATGTGGCTGAATCCCAACCTTCTCTCAGAGATCTGTATGAGAAACTGAAGGAATTCTTCAAGAAAGCTAAACTGGAGTTGAAAGAGAAATTCGCCAAGTTTGGTGAATGGGTCCAAAATAACTTCAAAGATGAACTTGAAGGACAGGATAAAACTCTGGGAGAAAAGTTGAAATGTATTGCTAAAAAGGTAGGTATAGATGTTTTTCTGATATATGTTGAAATTATAAAGATTTTTCACAATAAGTTTCATTTTTTATTTAGATAAATGTTTGCTTTCTAAAGAAAAATCGGTCATTTACTTGAAAGCTAGTATTTCTAATTTGAACAAAAAAACTTATTGTGAAGATATTTTTGTAATTTTAATTAAACCTTTCACAATTCACATTAGATAAAAATATCCTATATATATATATGTATCATATACAGTGTACTCCGCTTATAACAAAGTCGGTTATAGCGAAATTCCGCATATAGCGAATGAAATTGTCTGCACAAAAGAAAAGAAGGGCTTAAACCATTAAAAGAACTCTGGATATTGCGAAGTCGGATATAAAGAATTTTCGCTTATAACGAAGTGATTTGCATGTATAAATTTTTATTTTATCCGTTTATAACGAAGTTTTCTCATTTACCATTATAATTGACTAATATATTATGCATAATATATCAATAATCAAATATCAAATATAATAATCAAATTACAACGTGTGAATGACACAAATTTAATGATACACAACAAATAAGTTAATAATATACAATTTTAAAATATGCAAACATATTATAAGTATTTTTTTTACATTATTTAAACAAAATTAATTAATTTTTTTTTTCCAACTGCGGATATAACAAAGTGATTGTCATGGATAATGCGACTTCGTTATAAGCGGAGTACACTGTATACAATATCAATATCATTGTATTTACTAGACTAGCGGATGTGTACCCTGCTTCGCCCAGGTTTTATCCGAAGTTTGCCTAACGAATATTATTGATAATAATATTCTGGAACACACAGAATATTATGACAATAATGATAATTATATTCGTTAAGTCATATATTTATATAATATTTTTAGATTGAGATTATTAGCTAGTATGTAAAAAAATTAACTCTGTTGAATTTTTTTTTTTTTTTGTATTTATATATAAATAAAATTAACTCTGTTGTGATTTTTTTTTTGTATTTAATCGATAACACCGAAGTTACGCATGTTACTGTTAGGAAATATATTTTGATGTTAAGCAAACATGCTCCATCTCGTTTTACATAAATGTTGAAAATTTGGTTGAAATTGATGCATTGTAACGAAAGTTTTTAGCGAACACTTATGAAATTTGCATTTTATTAATATAGATTTAAATTAGTCATCGTGTTGCCAACTGTAACTCAATTCTATATAGAGTTGATCAAAAGTCTTTTTAACAATCAATAAATGGATATTTATTGAGTATTATCACGTCGAAAAATAGGAAAGGCAAGCGTGTATTAAGATTATAAAGGCTATTTTTATTTTGATCCAAGCAATTAAATCATATTTTATTCATTTGTGTAATCCAGATCTATGGAGCGTACAGTAAAAAAAAACTCATAAAATAACAGATAAGGTAGCAAAATATCAATATCAAAATTAATAATATTTTCTCATAAAAAATAATAGTAATTTTTACTTGAAAGGACACCTTAGCCTGATGAAAATCTGTATTTTGATGACATTTCAGTCAAAATCCTTCACCCTCGTCAGGTGTGACACAAATCAAAAATGTATTCACTGAAATGCCATAAAAATAAAGATTTTTTCATCTGGTGAAGTGTTTTTTGAAAAAAAAAATTTTTTTGAAGAGAAACATTTAAGCTTGATAATTTTATTTCTTATATTTAGATGGCACGTTATTGCCTACAAAAAAATATAAATGCTGGCCAGGCAATATCAATCCTTAATGTCAAAATATTTTGTTGTGTGATATAATATGATTTTTTAAAAATATATATATTATAATTAATAATTGTATCACCTTTGTGTGTGCAGCTCCTCTCCAATTATATGGAAATCAAGAAAGATGTATTCTCTCAAGCCTTGGAATATCTCAAGCCATACCGTGAGAACCTGGGGGATCTCTATGATGACCTGAAAGCTATTTGGAAGAAGCATTTTGAGAAAAATTATTAAACGAAATATTGTTCTTATCTTATTTAATCTCTTATTATTATTAAAAATATATACTATGTTTCCATCCTTTACACTTAGTTGTATTAACTACAAATACTTAGTTTTGGGGTATTTTGGTTGAAATTTAAAACTTTTCTATTGTAATTTAGATTTTTAAATCTAAAATCTTAAATACACCGCCTGAGCCTACATTTAGAAATGAAGAAAAGGAATTAAAATAACCCTTCCCATACACCCTAGGATAAATATTTTATTCAAAAGTTGCTTGAAGTAATTTTTTCATCTGAGATAGTTGATTCTAAATAGACATTGGGTTGAAATAACAATTTCATGAACACAATTTTATTAATAAAATTAAATCCTATTATAAATATATTTTTTTAAAGACAAGTTATATATTCTCTAAAAACTTCTCCCAATCTCTAATTTGAAATAAAAAAATGTCATTCTCTTTACCATGAAAAGCGTAATTAAATGATTTAAAAGTAATAGAAATTAAGGTATTATTTTATTTTATATACGTTTTCTCTCTCTAAAAGAAAAAATATATATACTGAAATAATATTTTTTATTCAGAGATATCATTGATGTGTATTTATAAAAAACGATAGAAATAAGGCCGGCACCAGCTTTGTTTATTTATTAGAGGAAATGACCATTTAAATTCTTGAGTGCCTATCCCCTTAACCTGTTTAATCTTTCGTTTGATATCAATAACTATGGCGGCAGATCAGAAGACCATATATGATTATACAGTAAAAGATATTGATGGCGCTGACGTATCGCTTGAAAA